GTAGTAGGTGGTAGTGGTGGTGGTGGTGGTGGTAGTAGTAGTAGTAGTGGCGGTTGCTAGGGAGCTGGAAAGGCTGGAGGTTTTGATATTCGCAAAGCTTCATTGAGGGGTTGCAAGCTCTTGTAGGACTTTGAAGCTGGGTTCATACAAGGGCCTTGAGCTGGCAGGCAGAAGTGCCTTCATCGCGGCGCGCCTTGAAGCCCATATGGGTTGCTTGGACGGGAGGTCTGACGTTCAGTGCTCAGGCCCGAGGGTGAATCTCGGAAACTCGAAAACAAGTATTGATATTCCGGTTGAATCCCTGGGAGCTTTGTTTCACAGTGGGCTTTGAAACAAACACCTTATCTCGGCTCCTACCGGTTCAGGGTTCCTGGGTCTTTTGAAAATGGTTGACGCCCTACACGCCCCCACCAACTCGAAAGCTCTAAACCCCAAACCCGAAGGAGAGCAGTACAACTCTGCAAGGTGGAGCTTCTTGATCTGAGGCATCCGCATGGTCAGCGATATAGTTTGGGGAAGCAAGGATTGTTTGATTTGGGATCTGGTTGTTTATGCTCTATGTGAGGGCCCCCTACATTCTGAGATTTCCACATCTGACTCGCTGCGCAGCTGCAGTAATGCAGGCACAACGGTGAGGGCTACGCTTGAGATATGAGGAATGCAGCCCCTGGAATGGTAACCAACATAGAACCGTCGAGCCCTCTGTGCATACGACATGTGGGTGGTTGTTCCAAATTATGCTCCCTTTCTGGGTCCTTATTATAATACGGCACCTATTATTTAGGGTACCCCTTTGGGGACCTTAATTTTGACAACTACCCATGTGGGCAACGCTGCCTTTGTCCTCTGCGCGATGCTTGCACCACCTCACTCGGTTCAGAATCGGCCGGAGGAAGCTGTATGGCCATGTGGGACTTTCCGAAAATAGGAGGTACCTTATTTTGGGGTCCTTATAATAAGGATCCTATTTTTTAGGGTACTATATTGGGGTCCCCTATGTTCGGAAACTCCCATGTAAGTATGTGTGTAGCAACTCCCGGACCAACGTCACAACAGTCTGCCTTGATTCCTAGACCATCATTGCATTGTGGGTCGTCCTCTAAGACGGGAGGGGGGGCCTTTTTAGGGTCTTTTTTGTAAGGGTGCCGTACTATTTGGGGGACTCAAAAAAGGGACCCTGGTTTAGAGAACTACCCATATGTGTTTGGGCAAGACTGTGATGTCGGACGGAAAAGGTTGGGAAGCTCGAGGCCAACAAAGAACTCGTTTCTGTGACAACATACCTGAAAACCCGACAAGGTTAAAATTAAAGGTTATCTACTCAGCTCACGAAGTTGTAATAATACCCTTAAGCAACCCGTAAACAGAATCCCTCGAAAGGTCACCTGCTCTGCTACTGAGCATGCGACGGGCCATGAGCATCTCCATCGCCTTACTGGACTTTACAGTTGCCGGCTTTCGGGATAAGGGCTTGGGGGATTTGAGTGCTGTTGGAAAGGTTTTAGAAGGAGCTTGTAAGCTTTTATACGTGGATTACGATAGAAAGGTTTTGTACGGGGCTTGTAGGCGTTTTTTTGTGGGGGCTGTCTGCGGGTTTGGGGTTGAGGGTTCTGGGGGTTTGAATGTCTAGGGGTTTAGTGTAGTGAAGCATATGATGAACAAAGCCACCCGACCACTACCTACCCAGCTACATCTGTACATGCAGACCAAACCAATGGTTGCTGCTCGGACGATGAGGCTAAGCACTGTGACTATGTTTCTTCTTTCATGCGCTTGTTTCTACTCAGGCTACAACAGTCATATGTCCTGACTTATCTTCCAAGATCCGCTAAAGAAGCAGTATACCTTACTGGGTTGGCCTTTAAACCCTCTGAAAAATATCTATATCAAGGGTCCCTTATACACCCAAATAAGGAAAATAGAAAATGTCCCAACAACCAACCTAGCTTAAATCATGTTATCAGTTCTTAACTAAGGGGAATTGAAACTCTGGGTTTGTTAGTCCCTAAACCCTAAACCCTAAACCCTAAACCCGAAAACGACTCTTCCCAATGGTTGTGAAATAGAACTCTTAGGTGTTCAGTATCCTAGGGAACTATGGGTTTAGGGTTTAGGGTTTAGGGTAAGGCTAACCTTTAGGATCACACAGGGGTTGTACTACACCAAGGTTGCCTAATGTTGGAGCCTTACTAAGTAGAATAGGGTTTTGGGGTATCCTATACTATAGTTATAATAAGGAACCCCCAAAATATTATTTTGGTAATTATTAAGGCCTCTATATTACTCCCTTTCCTACCAAGAATTACCCGGTGTGCCTGGGCCAGGCAGGGCAAGAGTTTGGGCTTGAGCAGTTCCGGGCCAAGTGGGCTTACCCTTAACGTTCGGGTCCTTTGTCTTAATATAGGAACCTCAATAATTAGAGTAAGGTTTTGGGGTTCATGATACTATAAATATAATAAGGAACCCCAAAATAATGTAGGCAGTTATCTGGCCCCTATAGTTTTATTTTGGTTCTTTGGCTAGGGCTCAAGCCTTCGATTCAGGGCATGGGGTTTGGGCGTAGGCTGACCATCATCGGCGCGGGATTTCCAGAGTTTCATTTTCAAAGTTGATGAAGCCTACATGCGAGATACTGAAGACCACCCCTGAACCGCCAACCTACCAAACTCACGGCGCGACAACTTGACTGGGTTGGCCTTTAAACCCTCTGAAAAATATTTATATCAAGGGTCCCTTATACACCCAAATAAGGAAAATAAAAAATGTCCCAAAAACCAACCTAGTTGACCAAAACTCGGCTGAAGGTTTGAGGGGTCCTTCAACTCGGCTTCTGTGGGTCTAGAAGCCCAAAGAGTCGGCAGGATTAAGGTTTGGGGGTGTTTGGGGTTTCTTGGGTTTTGGGTTTATTGAGTTTATTGGGTTTATTGAGTTTATTGGGTTTATTGGGTTCAGGGCTTCTTGGGTTTAGGGTTTCGGAGTTTCAAAAAAGCCCTCAAAAAAGCACCGAAACGGAGGGAAAGAATGGCGGCCTGAACGTGGTTGGACTTGGCGCAGAGGACCTGAGCCATGATCCAACAAACATCGCCTTTGAACCCCAACTTGGAGGTTCATGTTTAGGGTTTCGGGTTTAGGGTTAAGGGTTTAGGGTTTTGTGTAGTTATAAGTGGGGTTATATGTAGGGTAATTATAGCTATAACTCACAATAGGGGACTTAGAACTCCACTTCTATCTAAGAAACCCTGAACCCCATAAACTCCTGTCTCCCTGAACCATAAGAGACCTACCTTTTTAAGGAACAAAAGACTAAAAGATAGAAACCATAACTTTATCCCTGAACCATCAAAGGACCTACTCTTTTTTTAAGGAACTGTATATCGAAACCCTGATAAGGAGCCCTAAGAAGGTAGGTCTTTTCGGGTACAGGTAAACCCCATAAATCCCGGAATGTAGGGTCCTTAATAGTTAGAATAGGGTTTTGGGGCCCATTGTACTATGATTATAATAGGGATCCCCCTGAAATACTGCAGGTAATTTTTGAGGCCCCTAGATTACTCTCCTAAACCCTTAAGCCCTTTCATCCCCACACCCCCGGCGCGTCGGGGCTTGTAGAAGCCTGCTTCGAATTCGGCTCTGGGGTTCGGAGTTCAGGCTGAAGGGTCTTGGATTGCTTACTTCGGGGCCCCCCGGCTTAGTAGCTCATGTAGGGGCCTTAAGAACTAGAATAGGATTTTAGAGTATGTTGTACTGTTTCTTTTTTTGAAGGGACCCCCCAAAATAGTATAGGCAATTATGAAGGCCTCCAATTTTAGGGTTCTTTTAGGGTTCTGAACTAGCGGTAACTAGCGATCCGATCTCTTGGAGGTGAAGGTTTTGGAGGAAGCAACATGGGAGTTTCCGAAAATAGGGGACCCTAATATAGTACCCTAAATAATAAGATCCTTATTATAAGGACCCCAAAATAAGGTACCCCTTGTTTTCGGAAACTCCCACATGACAGGCGAATGCCTTTCAAGGCCGAAAGCAGCAACCACATGAGGCCCTCGAAGACTGCAAAGCCGGCGGCTCTGTCCCAAGACCGAATACGCCCAAAATCCAGGCAATTCCACAACCCTAGAGTTTAGGGTTCCTCCGAAAGAATTGTACCCATAACCCTAAAGTTTAGGGTTTCTCCGAAAGATATCGTACCACGGAGCCCTGCGGACAAAGGTCAGGCTTTGTGCTAACCTCGCCAAGGCGCCAAAGGGGTGTTGCCCTCCTCGTCCGGAATATCGGGCCTGGCGGCTCAGAGCGACCGATCTCTTCATCAGCTCACAGGCAGAATAGGCAGAAGTCGGCTGCGGAACTGTCAAACCAAGACTATCTGCGAGACCTATCGTAGTAGCAACGTTCCCAAACCCCCAAAAGGATCTAAAAAATAGATCCCCTAAGGGTTCCTATAAAGTACCCTTTAGTAGTTAGGGTCCCTAAGTAGGGGATCTATTTTCTAGATCCTTTTGGGGGTCTGGGTAGTAGTTACCTGACGAAGAGACAAGGAAGAACGCGACGAGGAGACGAAGACAATTGTGCCGAGAATCGTCGCAAAGCCCTTATCTCCAAGGGCCCAAAGAGAACCTCAGATCCTGCGCTTGAGAAACAGGAGCCTCCAATATCCCTTAATTAAGGAAGATACCTTACATTATAGTAGGATCCCTAATATGATTTAAGGTATATTCCTTAATTAAGGGGTATTGGAGTCTCTGGGAGATAACCTCAGATCCTGCACTTGGGAAACAGGAGCTGCAGTGAAGGGCGTAGGCAAACTCGTCATCCTGAGCCTTCAAATTCAAATTCCCCTCAACCCTGAATAACCCGAAACCCTCAAGCCCTAGACCCTAAACCCTATAAACCCTACAAGCCCTATAAAACCCTAAAAGCCCTGAACCCTAAACCCTATAAACCCTAAAAGCCCTAAAACCCTAAACCCTAAAAGCCCCAAAAACTAAAAAGCCGTGAACCCTAAACCCGGCACCCCAAGTCCTCCTAAAGCCCGGCCGGGCCCAAGCGAAAACCCAGGGAAGCAGAGCCCAAAGAACTTCAAGCCCGGAGCTTTCCATGGGTTTAGGGGTTTTAGGGTTTAGGGGTTTTAGGGTTTAGGGGGTTTAGGGTTTAGGGGTTTTAGGGTTTAGGGTTTAGGGGTTTGAGGGTTTAGCGGTTTAGGGGTTTAGGGTTTAGCGTTTCTTTCCATGGCCACAGGAATCATCAAGTCGGCAAGTCTCACGAAGAAAGAACCACTACTAGTACTGTTCACATTCACATGAGTGCCGAAACTGGAGATATTTCCAGTGCCAGAGTGCGGAATGCTCTGCACCCTAAGACCCGATTTACTGCAGTTGCTGCTTACTACGGTTTAGGGTTTAGGGGTTTGAGGGTTTAGGGTTTAGGGTTTAGGGCTGCTGCTACTACTACTACTACTACTACCACTGCTACTGCTACTGGAACTGCTACTGCTACTACTGCGACTGCTGCCTCTACTCCCACTCCTACTCTTCCGGCAGCCAGTCCCGGCAATCTAATCAACCGCCACATTCATGATCATTGTCGCAAACATAGCAAAAATTCGTGGCCGTAGCCACGATCACCGTGACAAAACAATAGCATCCTCACTAGTACCCTTATCAGCAACAGCAAGAACCAGGACAACAGAACTAGCAAGGTTTATGATAGCAGTTGGCACCATCGGTAAAAGACCTAAAGAACCATACCCCAAGAACCCAAAACCTCAAACTGTGAACCTATTTGTAGGGGCCAAAATAGGGTTTTCCGGCATGCTATACTAGAGTATACTTCTGATCGGGACTAACAGGGCATAATCTGACTAGTTGTCTCGGGTTCTATATGAAGCCCTAAACCCTAAAAGCCCTGAAAACCCCATTCAAAAGCCCCAAAAGCCCTAAAAACGCCTAAGCCCGGAGCCCTGCCATCACTATTGCATTATTGTTGTTATTATTGTTATTATCATTATTACTATCATTATTATTATTACTATTCTGGGTTTTAGCCTTTAAACCCTCTGAAAAATATTTATATCAAGGGCCCCATTTACACCCAAATAAGGAAAATCAAAAATGTCCCAAAAACCAACCTAGTTATTATCATTATTATTGTTACTATTAATATTGTCACTATCAGGAGCAGGCCTGGCTTTCTGCTTCAGGAGCCATTCCATTAGCCCCACTTCGCCCTTGTGCGCAGCGAAGTGCAGCAACCTTGGGCTTTAGGGCTTTAGGGGTTCAGGGGTTTAGGGGTTGAGGGGTTGAGGGGTTTAGGGTTGAG